ATAGATTCAAACTTCGATCATTCCCCAAAATGAATGAGAGCTCAACGAAGCTCCGCTGGAATAATTCTCTCGTATTCCACGATATTCGCTTTTCCACGATGATCGAACGAATTAATACAAACAAATTAATACAAATTATTCGCAATTAAGAGAATATCTATAAGAGAGAAAAATTCTTAGAAAATTGAAACGCTTGGAAAGTTTGCTCGAATAAGAGATTTCTAAGAGCGGAAGAATCAATCAAAGCAAGAAATCTTCTCTAGGATCTCGTAACGCAATCTCGTAACGTTATCACTGTTCGTAAATCGTAAAAAATCGTGGCTCTCTGGTCCATAAACTCGAGCGTCGTTTCCTTTTCATTCGAGATTGCATCGATCCCATCGGTGAAGACGTTTAAATACGACGTTCTCGAAAGACTCGCGCGACGAAAAGAAGAGAAAGTTGCGGACCGCGAGAAAGGGCTGAAAAAACCGAGCGACCGAGGGTTGTTTCGACAGCGCCCTATCTCGTTCCCCTTTTTCTTTTCCTTTCCTTTTTTCCTTTTTTCCTCTTCGCCGCGTACGAAGCTTTCGTACGGATCGGCGGCCATCGACGGAAGATCGTGCCCCCATAAAATTTCCGAGCAGTAGTAATCGAAAGGACCCTTCAGCCTAGGAACGAGCAGTTACCTGAGGCAGTTAAGTTAAATGCCTGTTAGCAGACGTTAACTGCTCGCCGCTATGGGTTCTATTCCGTGGACGATTGCAATTTTAATCGCCTCTTCATTATGATTAAATTTAAATCGGCTATGTGCAGGTCTAATAAAGCTCGTTCCGCGGCGGCCGCTCTGGAAACAGAAAATGTCTCCTGGGCGGATTAAAATACGCGTAATTAAAACCGTAAAGCGCCAATACGTGTCCCCGAAAATAGACTGTCGGCTTCGCGATAAATGTCCGGCTGAAAAAAGCTTTTTGTCTGAATGTGGGCATACGTGCGCGCGCGCGCGTGTACACACGATCACGCCATGTGGTGGACATACGTTCGTCGGTGGAACGGCGGATGATTGAGCTTTATTTGAACCATCGAGATCGGTTAATTAATATTCTAGATATGATTGACGGTAAGGAACGAAGCGTTTGTGCACACCTTTCTAAAATTGGGCATCGAAACGTGAGCCCTATCACGCGAAAATGCACGCGCGCGCGCGAGAGAGAGTGTACAAAAAAAAAAAGAGAGCCATTGACCCCTGGTCGCGAATCAGGGGAGGTTTCGAGAAGGGATGAAAAAAAAAAGCCCTTGGACGTTCCCGGTGGATGGTATTTTTTTTCGCGCATCCACGAGCACCGCGAAATTATTTATGGCCGTCGAATCGGCGTTTTGCCACGAATAATTTTCGAATATCGTCCAACTTTTGTTGGCGATGCGACATTTTTTTTTCTTTTTTTCCTTTTTTTTTTTTTTTTTTTTTTTTTTTTTTTGCTACACGGATCGCACACGCTAACGACCGACAATTTTATTATTTCGAATAATACTTGGAGAGAGAGAGAGTGATAAATTGGCCGCGACGACGGTAATTGACGAAGAACGAAAGGGCGAAATGAATAAAGAAATAGCCATTTTCTTTTCCATCCTTCGTGTCCCTTTTGTTTTCCATCCCACGTTACGTTTTCACGTGGAAAATGTAACATGTTGGTAGAGCGTCGGTGTTATGGAACGTTGCGTGAGAAGAAGAGCAAACGTACGAAAGGAAAATAAAATGAGCGCGTGAATGGAAAAAAAATAAAATATGCGCGAGTAAGTAAGGATAAATAAAGAGGTTATTTATATTTTATTCGAAATGATAAAAATTGGTCTAATATGAAATTCATTATATCCATTACTACTAATTAAACCGAGTGAAAGGCCAGTGGAAGGGCGCTGTGAATTTTTTAACGATAAAGTTAGCGGGTTTTTGATTATTTTATTTCGGCTGATTGAGGTGAGGATTTTCATACGAGCCTGCCCCACCTTCATTAAATATCCGATTACCGCGATAAAAATTGCACGCCGATATTGTATCTGAGACGCGGGGCGGCCGCGTCTGATCATGGTCACGAGTTAAACGAGTACTACAATTGAAAACGTTATTACATTAAAGTGTAATTGAATGCCTCGCGCGCATAATTCCGGATTGGGTACGTGATGCCGCATCGAAGTAATTGTTGATTGTAAAGCAGTTCCGACGTTATCGTGCAAGCAATATAATAGTTGTTAATTAACAGCAATTAGAGACGGAGCGGCAATTACATCTCTTTTCAAGTAGTAATAAATTACAACAGATCGATAAATCGTAATATTTCATTACACTATTTCAAGTATTTTGTTGGTAATTAGAAATGCTTCCCGCGGCACTCTTCTCCGCTATCATCGCATTAAAATTGGCCGTTGGTTAATTTTTAGCTTGCGTACAACAACCGTTCTCCTGATCCGTTCCGCGTGGCCACGCAGCTACCTTCGCACCACCCCCGGACTCTTTTCGTCCGATTAAAAAGTCTCGATTGTTCGCGCGGAAAATTCTACAAAACTTTATATAAGCGTAGTTTCTTTCTAGTATTCTTTTGCCGATCTTGGTATCGCCAATTTAAAACATAATTTAATAGGTCTTCGCGTTCCTCGAATTTCGCGCGAATTGTTTAATTTATTATCGTTCTTCTTTCTTTCTTTCTTTCTTTCTTTTTATAGTTTTCGTAACTAATAAAACATTCTTTCGTTTTAACGAAATGGAATTCTTGCATTCCATTCAATTTTTGATTCAATTCAAATTGCAAAATATTTTCGTTTGTTCCCAATCGAGTTTATGAGATTATACAATTTTCCTTTTTCTTTTTTTCTTTTCTTAATCATTAATTGTAATTGAAACATTTCCATTAATCTTTCCAATAAATATTTAAAAATATAGAATATAGCAATACTAGTTATACCATCTTTTCGTAACATTTAAGCTCAACGATTCGTCGAAAAAGTTTGTCATTTCAATATCGCGACAGAGATTTAACTAAAATTCGTTTTAATAAAGCCGAGAATAGAATGAGCGAGCGGTGCAAGGCATCTCGCGATGCACAGGGTGCACAGGAGCCACGTGTGCACGCGGTACCGTCCGATACATGGACGGGGATGGCCCAGCCCTCGTAAAAACGTTGAGCTGCGGGTCGGCCATGGCGAGTCAAGAAATCTTTGATAGCGACGCTCGATAGTATAGCGACGCTGGGCGCCGGCGCCTTTCCCTAGCAGCCCCATTGGTGCCTGAGGCCCTCTCCACACGAGAGCCCGCCGCCAGGTTTCCTTGGAAACGCTTCGTTCGCTCTGATGTCTACCCTCGCCCACGGAAAACCTCTTTCAATTAGGCGCCCAGCCACCCCGAGCACCGACCATTCCAACTCTCTCTCTCTCTTCCTCTCTCTCTTCCTCTCTCTTTCTTCCTCTCATTCCGTCTCTCTTCGTCCTTTTCCCGTTCGTCCACGATACTTTTCCAAGTCTCGTATATATACCCCGCTTCTCGAAGAGAGGTCTCGCGACGGGCTCTCGTTCGCATCGACGAACGTTCCTCCTCCCCTCCCTGCTTCGTTTAGTGATTTCCTTCGTTCTTTAATAATTATGCTCGATGTTCGAGGATGGAAGACGAACGTTACGCTTGAAAGCGTCGTAACGTTTCTCGAGCGAAGGGATGACGAGGAATATATATATATATATATAAGGAAGACGTATATAGAGAAGCGAAGAAGCGAAAGAAATTGCACGCGATCGAGGGGGATGAACGGTTGACGGGAGGAGAGAAAAATGAGGGAAAACGAAAGTAAGGTAAAAGTCGGTTTGCGAATTTGAAAGAGCGAGCCGATGGTATATATTTGGAGCAGGTCGATCAGGTTGTCACAGAAGAGCGAAGATTAACGTAATGGCGGAGGGACGAATTTTTCTCATAACTGTCCACGTGTGTATGAAGAATATAGGGAATCCAATGGAAACGCGGCGTCCACGTGTGTGTCGACACGGGAGAAGAAGACGAGCGAAAACTGCTTGATATGCAGCGCGATGCCCGGCTTGACTGACGCTTCCGAGTTGCGAATAAAATTTTCATGAATTTCTATTAGCTTCGTTTTTCTAGACGTGCCCCGGAGACTTAAAAAAGCTTGATGGCGGAGGGGAAGAAAGAGCGCGGGTTTGGCCAACAATTCCAATATCAATTTTATCAATTTCCGTTTTTCCAAACGATGCGCCGAATTTTCTTTCGTTCTTTGATAGCGAACGAAGTGAAATTTCCACGAAACGCTTCTTCTCTTCTAGCGTTTCATTCAATTTTTCAGGCTTACTATTAATTTTATATCGCGTTTAAGAATCGATAATTTTCACAAAATAGGATATATATTTAAATAATATTATTAAATATATTATTAAATATATAATATTATTAAATATTTCTGAGATATGTTAATGTTACTACGAATTGGTTGGGGGATATTCGAAAATATTGATATTGAAAATTCGAAAGATGGGATGTGTCGCGGTTGTTTCCGTGATCTTTGAATTTTGACGTACGAACACGGGTAAGGGAAAGTTTCCAGAAAGTTTTGCGGTTGGCCCAGAGCAAGTCGGAGCCCACCAAAATTCGAGACCCCGTAGGGTGAAGGCTTAACGCTACTCCAAGTTTCACTTTAATCCGAAAAGCCGCGGTAGGCCGGCGAAATTGATTTCGAGACACTAGCGGTACCACACCTAGTTATGCCTATTAAACGTGACTCTTGTTGTCCAAACAGCGATACGGACTTAAGCAAACGGTATTTCTGGTTTGAAACATCGCGTGGAATTGTTCTAGCAAGAGAATTTCATCCCGTTTAATTCATTATTGTGACAAATTATGTCAGAATTGTCAAAGAGAATTTAATCAAAGATGAAATTCATTCAATTCGAAACACATTGCGCATCACAGTGAAGGCTTGTCAAGGCTAAGAGACGCAAGGATTATTGGAACGAGAAGTAGGACTTACTTGGACTCGACTTTCCGTGAGGCCGATTTTCACAGCTATCTCCTCTCTGAGGAAGATGTCCGGATAATGGGTCCGATTGAAACACCTTTCGAGCTCGTTCAGCTGGGCCGGTGTGAACCTCGTTCGGTGCCGTTTCTGCTTGGCAGGCTTGTCATCGCCTTGCCCGATCGCTGCCGCGTTCCCTACAACAACAGATTTGCTTCTCAATAACAGATAATAAAACAAGATAAACGATTCGAAAACGAACGAATTCGACGATTAAGACAACTAATAATTAATTATTTTAAATTTACAATCCTTGTCACCAAATTTCCCAACTTTCTTATTTAATCTTTTACAAGATCTCTTACGCGATGATTCCGATGCACCTTTCCGACGCACGCGCGAAAGAGCGAAATTTAGAAATTTATTCTACAGCGAAACGGTATCATCGGGTCTAAGGCAAAGGCGAGCCTCGATAGTGAAAAAGTATAAGTACGTTGGAACACGGTAAAACGCTTACCCGTGCCAGGCATGGTCATGATTAATTCCTGATGTAGCGTGAGGCCACCGCCGGCAGACAATCCGGTGCCCAAATTCACTCCCAGCACGCCGTCCAACTTCTCGTGCCTCTTCAGGTCCTGTGCATGAAGATCCTTCGCTCCTGCGAACGCGAAACGCGAAAAAAAAAAACGAGTCATTACAGTTTTCTGTTAGCCCCGCGCCCGCCACCGGCCCCTCCTCCTCCTTCTCCTCCTCCTTCTCCTCCTCGCGCTCACTCCCTTTTCTGCTCTATGTAGTTTAAATTTGTATAGGAGCAGAAGCTGAGTGGCCGATGGTGAGGGGAGCACGGACCACTTAGCACGAAGGTGCGAGAATCGTCACCGGCCTCCGGCTTCTAGGCGAGCAAACACACGCACACGCGCGCACACACGCACACGGGTTCCGTGCACGCACGAACACGTGTTGGCGCGCGCGCGCGCAGCCAGTCACGGCTACGTGGTCGTAGAAAATTTCTAGAATGCGTAGGAGGAGGAACGGCCGCGACGGGGAACACGATGGATGATCGCGCGGCCATCGTTGCGCTTTGTCAAATTTGCTTACGTAATCGACTAAACTAGTTTCCTACCAGTTCCTCCAACCGCAAGATCTAGGGATTTTTTTCGAAACGGAGGATTCGAAGAAACCGAACCGGAAGTCGAGGATTCGTCAAGCGGATCGAATTCGAATTCGGACGAGATACGAGGATGATGAATATTGGGAAATTAAGAGAGAATTTTAAAAATCAACCACGCGTTCAACGATGAATAAGTGGGAAAATTAAATTAGAAAATTACGTAATGCAATGTATATGCAAATATTTTTTGGTGGAATGATCAGGATCGTCCAATCGGTATATTTCTCTCGATATCTCGGAGACCGTTAATCGTCGGATCGTACATCACAAGCGTTATGAAGTCACACCCGTTTAGAACGAAACGATAATATAGTAACCAAGGAATTTTATTGGTTTCATAAACATGGTGACCGGTCCCGGCAGTTTTGCATCGATATTTTATAATCCGGTCTGCTAATAGTGATTCATTCCGTGAGTCTGGATCCGCGCGTACCTATCCAAAATGCTTAATGCAACCGCACATGCATAATAACGTTAATAGTCTGGAATTTGAACGACGTCGAAAGCACTGCGAAAATAGTTGGAAAATTTCGACGCGGCATATTTCCGCTAGAAATCGAACATCGTCGCCGCTTTTTGCTAAGTTATGCAAACGCCTGGCTGAAAATCCAATCGTTTTCGTCGCACCGATATTCGCTACATCGTGCACACGTTAATATAATTTGTAGCTATACCCGATGAATATATCGACTGTCGCCAGCTCCACCATGAATCGTCCGCGATAATTTTGGAAGTTTCTTCTGCCCCATCGCGGGCATTATTCATGATACCGCCGAAATTCTGTCTCCATTACTCTTTTGTTCCCGTTTTTTTGTCAAACTATTTTCGACCGACGAGACTCTCCAATATTCCTCCAAAAGGAGGGGGAGGGGAAAGAAGAAGAAATGACAAGACTATCGAAAATCCGATAACGATTCGAAAATTAGATCTCGTCCGAAAAATCGCATCGTGGATGAATGTGAAATAATAGACGAATAAATCAGGGAATAAGAAGTTGATCCACGATTAATGGAATCGAAAAGATCATAAAGCACCTGAGAGGGAGAGAGAGAGAGAGATATCTTTTCGATGTCGAACAGTGCGGTTACTTGGACGAAAGGACTGCTTGGCGACGACCACCAACGTGCAAACAACCGTTTACTCAATGGAAACTTGGTATGAATGAACTTTATGACTGGTCTTTATTTTCGTTTTACTTTTATGGCCGTTGATGATTTTATTTCGATTTTACCGGGCAAGACCCGGTATTTATGAGCAAGCCTGCCTCGCCCGTCTAAAATTCGGTAGGCTCCTTTGATCTCTTCATCGTGGTTTTTTTTGTTTCTGCGAAAAGAGAGGCGAAGAGAGGAAGAGAGACGACAGAGAAAGAGAGAAAGAGAGAGAGAGAGAGAGGGGTAAAAAGAACGGGAGAAAGAGAGAACGCCGATACTGGATTCTTCCATGAATTTTCCAACAATTTTTGTCACGCAGTTGCGAAGCTTCCACTAAAAAAGAGCGCGTTGAATTGAATTGTCACTATGTGATCCGCGCCATGACCCGTGTAATTTAATTCGTCTCGATCAAGATCAATTTAAATTGGTGAAAAAAAAAAAAAAAAAAAAAGCGTATTTTATATAAAGAACGGCACAGTATGTATCGCAAAAGTCGGAAACTGTTCGTCCTTTGACATGTAGTATCATAAACGCGAGTTTCGATCCTTTTAAATTTAAAAGGGTATTAAAACGAGAAACAAAGATGGACAAATAAATATTAAATTAATACGAGAGCTAGCAAATTCAATTCGCTTAATTGCTCGCCGTGTTTTGATAAAAATTGGCAAACAAGGTATGATTAGTGCGAACGCACCGCTCGAGGATTAGTGCTACTAACCTTTTGTTTGCTTCGCAACCGTTTGCCTCTCATTAACGCCAAGAATCATTGTTTAATCCTATCAAACCTGTTCGGATTATCGGATTATTTAATCGAATTAAAAGGATTGTCCTTAAGACGACGAATCCACTTATTTTCTTTTTATATTTCGCTCTTTCCCCCCCCTCTCTCTTATTTCTTCTTTTATTGGCAAAAAGGCGTTGAACTCGGTATCGCGTTGTTGACAAGGATGGTCGACATCTCTATATACGTATCGATGATCTTTTAAAAAATTCGTGATCGATAGTAATCGGATTGCAAACGTCTGATTAATAAATTCATAATTCGTATTATCGAATTCCGGAAACGGGTCGACAGACATATACGTTCAAAGGTCAAGAGTCGTATACAGGTGCATTGTCTCAATGCTTTGATATTGTATCAAATTATTGTCAAATTAAATTAAGGATTTTAATAAAGTTAGAATCGTCACTTTTCCTTCGTCGCAAATTAATTCGCAAAATTATATATATATCGAAACCGTGTTCGTGATCTTCAAGAAGGAATGTAAGAAAAATATTTTTGCAAGTTGTAACGAGATTGTTAAGAGGGATCGATGTTTGCATTGGAAAAAAAAAAAAAAAGTCAAAGAATAAATTCTGGATGAAAGAGAATTGTGCATAGCGACAAAAATCGACGGTTAATTGTTCTTTAATTGAACTGACACGTCGCGCTTTTGCTCGGTTTCTACTACTAGTCCCAACTCTAAATCGTTCCTTAACTTCTCGCCTAATGTAATCAGCGTTGAAGTAATTAAGGTCATCAAACTCGAGAAGCGGTTTCCTTGGGCGGGAACAAGCGTCCGCCACGTGTTATCGGGCCAAAGTTTTTCTTTTTATCGTTCGACCAACTTTTCCTTTCTATTTTGCTTGCGTGACTTTTGACAAGGAAAACTGAGCGCGACATAAAATTTCCGAGATGATTCCATTGATGGGGATGAATGGGAATGGCTTTCTATTTTGGAAATATTTCCTATATGTCTTTAGATTTGTTTTTTTTAAATTTCGAAGGTTTTTATAAAAAAAAATATACCTATAGACATTGACTGATGTTGAAACGATTGAATACGAAATGGAATATCGAAGAGTGTTTTTCACTTATATTTTAGAACGATATTGATTTTTTTTTATTTTATTTGTATTTTAGAATTTTTATTTTATATTTAAGAAATTTGTGTCTGAATAGAATTGTTTGAATGTATCACGTAATTTCTATTTATTTTATTTTTAAATAAAATAAAATAAATAGAAAAAAATTTGTAGCGATTAATCAATTATTAATCAATTATTTATTGTTTTTAAAATATTCGAATAAGAATAAATTTTATAAGATCAAAATAAATGCGTAGTAGGCAAATATACAAGTAAAGAAACATGTCCGACGGACAGAGTTTTGTCGAGCGTACCATGAAATTTCGAGATAAAAAAATGAAATGAATACGTTATCGTCCATAAAGTTTATAAGTATTTTATAGTCTATCGCGAAAGAAAGTAACGAATAAAATATAATTCAAAAGTATAATTGCTTAACTGTGAAAACAATTGCGCGTTTCAGGATACTCGCTATCAGAAACAGAGAAATGTTTATTTTTTAACAGATTTTTAGTTAGTATCATATGAATAGTTCTTTCATAATTAACAACCTTTTAAACGTAAATGACCATATTAACTTTGACATTTTCATGTTTTCAACTAATTTTACTCTTTAAATATTAATAAAAAATAATTTTTATGCAAGAAAAAAATAACAGACAGTTATAAAACTTTAATATCAACGATTTCTTAACATGAAATGTGTAATATTTTTTAAAAGTGTTATTTTTATAAAAGAATATTTTATAAATTATATTGAAATTTTTGTGAACGAGTTACAACTCAGTAAACAATAGAAATTAAATTATTACAATAATAAAGAAAAGACACAAAAATTCATTATTTGCCACAAAACTCTAAAATACTTTAATAACCGCTTAACGTTTTAATAAAATAAAGATACTATATATACTTTAACGATATTCAGTTAATTTTAAATATTAGAATAAATATTCAAATTTTAAATATTCAAATAAAATAAAAAAAAAAATCATTTTTTCGTATCAACGATATCTACGTTCAGTGAGTGAAAAGAATTTGCCAATAAACCTACGATTCTCCATTTTTTATAATAAAATTTAAACGCAATCCTACGATTAATCACTACAAAAAAGAATACAAAAACCAAAATATCATGATACCTTTACCCAAGAGCCAAAAATATGAAAAGATTACCAAGTCATTTACCGGTAACAACCGCTTGCACAGCACAAAAAAACGTTCTTCTCCACTTTTCACAAAATCAACCAACCACAGAATAAACGAGCAACAAAATTAATCGCAACAAACCTTCCAAACATCATCCAAAGGGCCATCGTGGAAAATTGTGAAACATCACGAACCCCCTACAACCACCCTCGAAGACGCCACGTAAAATCCCTTCAAAATATTTTGACAAATAAAACACACGGGATCCATCGAGGAGCCAAAAGATTGTCGCACCTTCTCCTCCTTACTTACCGGAAATACCGTGTACCGAACCGCCGGCGGAGATGTTGTTGAGCATGCCGTTCCCGGGGAATGCAACCCCCGACACAGATAGTACGCGGTTACCAAAAATCCGCGTGTCACCGCGAGCCACCCTCGTAACTTTTTCCGTTACCGTGTATCCCACAAAAGGTATTATATTGCGAGTTTGTCGTGAATACAGCGCGACAAGCAGCGATACAACCGACAAGATTTGCTCGAGGAACGGCCCGTGCCCCAGCAAGGCAAACAGCGGACTGCCTAGCTGCCATATCCGAGCTCCCCCACCGCCGAGGACAGCCGCGAATGTCTCTCTCTCTGTCGCGCGAAACACCCTCTTGCGCGCCTCTTCTTCTCCCCCATTGCACGCGCCAGCCCGTTCTCACTCCCGCGCCTGGCTTGTGGGCGTGATATTAAATCGCTCCCGTGCTTCAGACTCGCCGCCGCCGCCAGGAACGTAGCTAGCTGAAACGGAAACCTGGAAACGATACCTTTGGACGAGCAGCGAGTTCACGATTCACCGAGTTTTTTTTCCCCTCTTTTTCCCGACGAGGAACGAGGAAGATGTTTGGAAAAGTGAATTTTAGAAGAGAAGGGGTGGATTTGTGACGAAGATGGGGATAATAATGATTGTCTATACATGATTATCGTATCGATAGGATTGGGAATATGTGATTGTGATCAGAAGAAATTTCTTTGATAAATCGGTTACCTAAAAATATATATTGAGAAGAAAGTTGAATAATAATAGCATCGTCGAAGCAACGCTCTTGTCGCAGAATCGTCCTTTTCTTTTTGTAAAGTAAAAAATCGGTCGACGAGTTAGTGAAGCGAATCTATAATAAAATCGGCGCACTTCCGGTAGCACTTTACGGGAAATGGCACGCGAGAACCGGAGAACCGATAGACACAGATTGGCAGGGCGAAAAGCAGAAGGAAGAAAATAGAAGCAAGAAAGGATAAAAGAATGTCCGAGAAGAAGAGGAAGAAGACGAGGAAGGAAAGTAGAAGAAGGAACAGTGTTCTTCGAGTCGTGAAGAAGGGAAGGGGGGAGGGAGTGAAGGAAGGAGGAAAAAAAGAAGGAAAGAGAAAAAGAAAAAAAAAAAAAAAAACGACGGAAGGAAATCGAGAAGCGGTAGTGGCAGAGTTTTGCTCACGGACTACGGTGGTTGGCGGGGCTGTCCATATCCGAGGTAAACTCTATCCAGGTTACTGTAGTCTAGCTGTCTCTGTTTTGCGGTAGGCGGTAACCGCTACAGACGCAGCTCCAATGAGCGAGTAGCCCGCCCTCTGGATGCCCCACTAGCTCACCCTCTGCCGGAGATTTATTGAAATTTTATTTTTATGGCTGGTAAGCACGGCGTCCGGTGGATGCAGGGGGTTGCAGGGGTGCGCTTGGGGGGTCAGACGGGACGAGAAGAAGAGAAGAGGATTCCTTCTCGTTTCCTCCAACTTTTTTTCCACGTTTCCTCTATCCTCGTTTCGCCACACCGGCACCCACCCTCCCCACCACAGCGGTGTATTTCATCCCTTTCCTCCTCTCTCTCTCTCTCTCTCTGTCGTGCTTCTTCCCTCTTTGGCCTGGGTATACGGTGCCGCGTAGCCCGGCCGCTTTATTCGCTACGTCCTTTTAATTCAATAGCTACCCTTTTTATAAGGTGGCGGATGTCGAGCGAAGACGGAAGTCGGCCGTGTCGCTTACAACGTCACCCATCAACGATATGCCAGAGATCAACTTCGTTTACCTATCGACGTAAGCTTGTTCCCAGGATTGATATTCTCTTTCCCCGAATTCGAACGGCCGGCCAATTTTTCCCTTTGTGCCCATACGAGGAGGGGATATTTATCGTAACGTTTGGAAATCACTCCTTGGTCGTATTTTAGGAAAATATCTTAGGAATATTGTTACGCGCGAGGACGTAACACGCGAGGAAATGATTATAGGCGAGTTAAAAGGAAGTAGATTGACTCCTGGTCCGGTACGTGTGTGCCGGATCATTGTTGTCTGATGCTACTTCGTCGCCATACGTTTAAGTTATTAATTAGCATGTTCGCACATCTTCTTGGTATAGCATGACACGATGCTATATGATCTATATATATATATATATATATGTATATATCTGTGAATATTTCTTCGAATGAATTATATCGTTATCATTATCTATGGAATTGGTAATTTCTTTGATTCATCGAGTAAATTTATTTATGATTATTAGTATTTTCTTACATGATTATTTTTCCATGAATTTGTAGGTAATACTTTTAATAAGATATTATTATAAAAAATTTCATAGATAATTTACATTCATTATAATAATATATTCAAGATAAAAAAGAATAAGAACTGAAATGAAAGAAATTCACAGACGCGGATTAATTAAAATTCGTTTTTGTTTATTTCGCATTTATACTTTGGATACTTTATTACTTTATCTTATTTGCGCGATGCGCGATTAAAAATATTCAATTGTACGGTTTGTTGAAAACGTTAGCTAGGGGGAAAAAAAAAGAGTAATAGAGGAAAAGAAAAACGTTGGAACGCTTTATTTCCCGAACGTCGAAGCGAAAATTCATACTTGTCCAGCGGCGTGCGTCACTGGGAACGGTTATTTCACCGTGGAAATAAGTTCGTAATAAACGTTGAAATACTACGTGTCGACAAATAACCGAAATTCGTTTTTATCACGGAAACGATGCGGTTAATCGTCGTTGCCTCTGTTGTACGCGAGACTTATCGACACGGTTTTGAATTTCTGAAAAACAATTAATAGGAAAAAACAACGAGGCTACGGCTAGGAAAAAAAAAGAAGAAAAGAAAAGAAAAGAAAAGAAAAAGAATTTCGAAGAAGAAAAATTTCGATCTCTTAAAGGAGAAGGAAATTTTGCAGAAATGCCACGCGTAGATACCAAGAATCCATATTGCCTTCAGAAGGGGCGCGGATGTCAAAGAAATTTAATAAACATGGGAGAACGCTTCCATCGTTCGACTGTTCGGCATTCTTGCATTAATATGAAAATAATTTACAACGGAGTTACAGTGGAGTTAATATTCGAGACGTACTGCTTTCAAAGCGGCTCTTCGACGGACCTCTACGCACGGACAGAAATTAGACGCTAAAATTATATCTATATATATATATATATAATGCCCGATTTTTCGAAATCTTCCACGCGTTAAGTTTGACCGTGTATCTTACCAATTTATCCGCGATCTTTAAACGGAAATATTCGGGTCAGAGTATGCAAATACATGGATAATCGTATTAAAGATAATTAACGTGGTTGGTACGTAGTATTCGATCATCGAATGGAGCGAGGGAATGGCGGCGAGAAATTTTGAAGTACGTCGCGTGGCGATATGCGCGGCCGAATGAACGCTCCACACGACGGAAAATGGTGTAACCAGCGGTTTCGCTCGGTTCCTATGCTTCCAAAAATACGTTGGAATTCTCCGGTTTAATGAAACAAACATAACCAGAGAATGCACGGCACGATTCGTACGCGCACCGCAGGAATCCTCCGGCTGCAATGCAACCGTATTTCAAATATTCCCCGTTTGTAATTTTTATCTTTGGCCACGACCAGCTGCATCCACTTTTTGCGACTACTTAATTAATGTTTAATTATCGTTACGATCGTATAATACTCCAACAACTCGATTAACCGAGTTCAATGCACTTTTAGCGGGAAAATTTGAAATGTAAATTGTTAAAAAAGATAATCATTATAACGGGGAACGGTGTTTCGATCAAAATCTTTTGAACTGATTTTCGAGCTCGAGTCAAAAATTAGAGTAACTTAACGGATCAGTTTAATTTTTGGATTAAGATTCAAGTAAGAACGCTCGTATTTTTTTGTTTCTTTCTTTTTTTTTTTTTTTTTTGTCTTTTCCTTTTTCGCTTTTTCTTGGAACGATATTAAGAGAGACGAACGGCAACAATGGCAACGAAACACTTGGGCGGTGGAAACACACAGAGGCATATATGCCTGTACGCGATCGATTTTAAACAGGCGAGACGAGCAGCGGCAAATTGACAATATGTCGAATGCAGACAACCGATGCCTCTGGCTAAAACTACCCTTTCGCATTGCGAGACCGAGGTCCGTTCTAGGTGTAACGCGAATTCCGTTTTCAGGAACTTTTCCGCGTTCTCCTATATTTTTCACGTTACTTACGTTCGATCAAAGATAGCGATTCGATCAGCAAACTTTAAAACGATAATTACAACATACTTGATATTATATTTCGAAAAAAATATTTCATTATTGAGAAAAAAAACGATATACGAATACTTGAATCAGAATGTTCGATCACGGATAGATTAGATTAGTTTTCCCTTCCTTTCAAAATCATCTTCGCAACAATCATGTTTAACGGCGAAATAAAACGGTAAAACGGAAATTAGAAATAAAAGAAACTGCCGTTTTATGAACGGATTTATTCCGTCAAACGAAATCTCTGTCCACTTCCGGCCCCTCTGTCTAGTTAATTTTTTTCCGTCGTATAGTTTCGTCCTCCAAATATTGGACGAATCAGAGGGCGTGCGTTGAAGCTCACCCTCTTGGGCCTGCACGCCTGTAGAAGTAATACCACTTTCGCGACGCACCGTGTGCCCCGCCTGTTCGAATTGGAACAACGTGCAACGGGCAACAGGCGACACACAGGTAGACAGGAATTTCTGATATTACATACCAGAAGCCGGAATGCCCCCATAACAATCCCGAGGGAGTGTACGAGGTTCTCCACATACGCCAGACATATTCCACGTCTAGCACGCCTCCCCGGCTCTCGTCAGTGTCTCCTGTTCCCTACAAATAGGGAACTGTTCCGCGTCTATCTCTTCCTCCTTCCCCCTCTTTCACCCTCTCCGCGACTCGTTCCTGTCATCCTCCCCCGGTTCCATCCTCCTTCTACCCTCCTCTTCCCCTCCTCCTCCCACGATTTCGATCGTCCCGCGAACTCGTGTTTAACGATCGAGACGAGTTATCCACTTCGATAAAAACCCCTGTTTTCGACCATGGGAACAGGGGAAGAAAGTTTCTATTGGAGTTCGAAGACGTTCGCTCGAGTGATTTTCGAGCGAATGTTATCATCCACTTTAGATTCGATCCGAGCCCGGCAGCGATTCAACACTTACGAGTGGTGGTCGTTTTATTAAAATATTAGCGTCGCGCGTCCGTTATGGGGCCGAGTGTAATAATCACCAGT